TTCCGGTATACCTGATTTCTGTAGGATTCTGTAAGATTTTCCCAGAATCCTACCAAAAAGTCAGCTAAATCCTGGCAGGATTTCTCAAGGATCCTGCCAAGAAATATATAGGTTTCTTACTAGGGAAATACATTCGTAGGAATGGACTGGTTCATTTCGGAAGCAACAACAAAATCGGTAACAGAAGAATGTGCCGTTGGTATTCGAAATTTTCATGGAACTGAGTTGCTCATTGTCGATACTCCGGGACTCTTTGACACCAATATGGAAAAGAAAAAGTGTTACCGAGAAATATCGAAATGTCTTCAAGTTATCCTTCCCGGGCCCCATGCGTTTCTGATCGTTATTAGCTGTAATCGTTTTACAGAAGAAGAACAAGCGGCTGTTCAGTGGATAAAAGACAAATTCGGAGAGCGAGCTCTTAGCTATTGTATTGTAGTACTGACGCGTGTGGATGAACTTGAACGAAACTAACCTCCGCAAACACTTCATGATTGCATCAGGAACGGTCATAAAGGAGTTCAAGAATTAATCAGAAGTTGTGGCGGTCGATACTTCGGTGTCAACAATTTTGCGGAGCCAGAAAGAAAGAATGAGTACGTTAACAATATGTTACAAATGATTGCGGAAATGAGAACAGCAAATGGAAGTAAAGTATTTACAAACAACATGATTCGTCTTATGACAGCAGCCGTTAGACGCCGAAGTCAAGAAGCACACGCCGAAATGGTTCAACCAAATGGAACAATCAATGAAATACCGGCGGTTACGGAAGCAGTCGTAAATTACTATCAGCAAGGACAGTGAACATAAGAGAGCGCTTTTTATCTGCTTGAGAGCCGTTGCACGAAAACCACAGGATCATATGCCCTCAGATTTTTCTCAAAACATGCTCATCTGGTAAAGCATAGTGAGTTATTCAGAATTCTAAAGTTTTAGCTCTGTGCGAGTTCGGATTTCTGGCTCATGGACATTGTGCACACAGTGACGATTTTCGCTGTACATTTTGCAACTGATCAATGACCTGTTACAGCCATTTAACTGTGACAGTTAGTTTACATTTTAGCATGCATAGCTAGATGCTTGCTTTTTACTATTATAACATCCAAAAAATTCACAATAAACATTGACTGTCAACTCTTTTTTTCAACATTATGCTACATACTAAATGCCCTTTTCTCGAACCTTTACCACGTAATAGACAATAAACTGATCGTTCACCAGCAGTTTCTTAACAGTTATTTGGATGTTAACCCCACTTTTGGGTTATACATTTAAAAAACATTACATAACAATATCAGTTATATTTCATCACGGTAAGAGAAAGAGAGAGATAGAGATAGGTTGTGATAAGAAAGAATTGTCCACAGAAGGTATATCTTTCATCAGGCATTTCTGTTCCCATGTTACCATCTAAGAAATTAAAAGAAATTTAGAACATCCGCAGATAAGGCTTCTTGCAACTACAATACCTTCTGCGCTTTTTTAAAAATGAAAATGGTAATCTATACGAAAAACGCTTTTCAGTATTTTAAATAAAATGTTTTTGAAAAAGGTTCAGATTTTTTTATATTGTTGAACAGTTCGATCGCCTTCCGATGCTTGAGGATTTGAACAGCATGTAAGGAGGACCAAGGGACGGTACAAAGTTTGTCTCGAGATGCTTTTAGTTTACATACCAGGCTACAGCAGTCATTTCAGCTTATTATTCTTATTATACTTGCGTACTTTTATATCTGTCACTCTTTAGTCCCTTCCCTTACTTTTCTGTTTCAGGCATATCACAGCTATCACTCTCACTCTCACTTTATAACTAAGAGTAGTAGAAGGAGAAAAATGACTAAAGTGAACATATTCAGTTAGAATGTATCAGTATACTTTTGTCATAGCTAAAAAGCTCTCGACAAACATTGTACCTTCTTCCATCTTATCATGTAAATCAAAAATGCGACAAATAATCTTACTGTTGTACACTCGCAATCTATGCTCTTCTATACATACGACTAACGATAGAAACAAAAAAGTTGATATTTCATTAAAGATGTAAGGCGCCGGTAATTCAAAGTTCGAATACTTTTTCGTTTTCGTTTAAACACACATATTCGGATTCGTCGTAAGCTGCTCCGGATCTGGCTTTATTTTTTGTTTTAGTTTAGTTTAAGCTTTTATTAGAGAATGGAGAGTAGCACAAGCGGCCGAAGCCATACAGCGCATAGCAAATTAAGTAAAAGGTAAAATAAGAAAAAAAAGAAAAGAAAAGATGGAAGAAAGCAGTGTAGAAGATACGGAAAAACAAGAAGGGATAGGGGTAAATCACTCGAGAGTTTCGGGGCCAGTTTAAATAATAATCAATAATAAAAATGAAAAACGAAAAGTGCGACAGTCGAGAACTAAAAACGCCTCGTCTTCTCAATAAATTCAACGACCGAATTGAAAATAATCAATCTCTGATCTTCATCTCTATCAGTCTCATACAATAGCAACAAACTATCAAAAACTTCAAAAACCTATCTTTTCCAAAAAATTGCCCTAAACATTTTGCTTTTCATTTTATGGAATTTTCGACGCGGTATTCGGATTTCTCCAATGAAAATGAGTCTAGAATAGTTGTCTCGAACTCGATCGCCGCATATTACGTCCTTCCTACACAAACCCAAGCGGCTGATCCATATCTTACTACATAAGGGTCGCACAAAAATTCTGATAGCAGATTCTGAACCACCATCATCAACTCTATTCCAGAGTGTCATTAGCTGTGGCAAACTCAGTGTAGACAAAGTTTTCTATTGAGAAGGTGCAAAAAGAACGTTCTGCGAATATGATCGGAAGAACTTGTGGCCGTCATATCTCGGCAATTAGAAATAACGTCATTGTCAAATTTTCAGAAAAACTTCCTCCACACTTCAGCTACATTTTACACATGTTCTGAAAAAAACTTTTTGCCCAAATTGGCACTTTTCCAAAAATACGTAAAAACTCATCGGATATCAAACTTTTTAATATGACCGAAAAAGCGCTTTTTCCGAACAAAGTCTAAATATAAGGTCATATTCGGGTTCAGCGTAAAAAACTGAGTCGAGCAGACTATAATAGAAATTTTTAGACGGTCTTATGGGTAGCTTTACTGGATATATACCTGATTGCAAGGATGAATCGTACAGTCGACCCTATACTTTGGCCCTCCCAGCTCCAAAGCTCGCTTATTTTACCAATATAAATACACAGTTTTGTAGAGCTCATCTGGGGCTACACGATGCACTATCTGAATTTTAGTTTTGAGTGAGTAAAGATGCCAAAAGCGGCTGTTTGGTGAGGAATGAACCTATGAATATCTTAGAAACCCAATACGCATGTCTCCTCTAAACATTGTTTGAGACATGCTTTTAGACGCTCTTTCTACCGAAAACCAACGGATTTCAGAAACCATATTTCGCACTTTTGACCATCAGGAATTGTAGCCCATCTGAAATTGGATCTCTCTTAAAATTTTCATCCTCCTACACTTCTGAGTTGAGGAGATAAACCGTTGTCAAATCGTGAAAAAGCAACGACACGATAGCATATGAATGCCCTCCACTATTTTGTTTTGTATTCGCTCAAACAAAAACTTTTCCGCATCAATATTTCAAGAGAGATACAATTTCTCTCAAACACGATCAAAACTGTATCTGTTTATTAAACCAGAAACAACTTTTCTCAAGGTTTTGAAGGTATCGGGTAGTTTTCCTCTGAAAATTCCCACACAGATGCATGAATATATGCATTTCAATATCGTCTGCGTGCTCTGTTGAGTACTGCTTTGAATTTCATTTCAACAAAAACTGTTGTAATGGATTCATCAAACATTAAAATTCTTCTTTTGCATCTTTCTCATCTAAATTCCTCGCCTCTTTTCACTGGAATAGATCACTTAGCGTACACGACAACAAAACAAACGGTTTACTAACGTTTTTTGATCACCGCATCTAGGTTCTTATCTTTTCGCACAGGTCCTAGTTAATAATTAATGATAATCGCATTCGGAAGTAAGTCGTATAAATATAGAAGAAAACCTTTTGTTAGTCTTATTCCACAACAATATCTACTCTTCGCTGTCATTTCTTCGATTCTCATCAGCATCGACGCGCTGTAGAACAAAATGTTTTTTCTTGTCAACATTGTGATATGCATTATTCTATTAAGGCACAGTGGGCATTTTTCTATAGAGCAGGCGAACATATGCTGTAGGAGTGGTATGAAAGCCTATAAACACGTTCTTCTATAGGTTTTCGAATATGCTCTTTCTAATGATAAGATTTCCAGTACTCAAAAGTAATTCCCTGTGGGTTTTCTGGAGACCGGATCTCTGGAAAACCCATAAAAAATATGTTTATAGACTTGTGTACTATTGCTAAAATAAATATCCAAATTCCTAAGCAAAATTTGCTGCGGACAAGCTTTCAAGTCTATAATTCAATTTGATCGAAAATATTTCTGCAGGAAAATTAAAAAGCTATACATCATTCGATGCAGTTTTTTACGGTGATTCCGAATATGGCATTATTTGTACGAAAACGTGCTTTGATGAGAGAGAAAAATGTGCCTGTGCAGGGTGTCCAGCATTGAACATCACCATATTTTGATAAATGGGTTCATCTTTCTACCGCCGATAAAGGAGTGTTCATAGTTCATATTCATAAGAAAAACGTTGACAAAAACTGTTTTGAAGCGTAACTATTGACTTCAATAAAGTACTCTAACTTTTCACGAGTTCTGACAAAACAACATATCCCGGTGGCCAAAATCATCGATACACTCAACTGTCGTTTCGTTTCATATTTCTACCACAAATACATGTTTTGTTACACAAGAGGGAAAATTCCCAGTTGTCCAAGTTTCATAATAAGGCATGATTGTAGTTCGGAAACGTCTCCCAGCTCTACAGGATCTTTGTTTATTGAGTTAAAAGTGAACTTTTTAATAGTTGAAACAGCTTGAAAACCCAAATTTTCGTAAAACTCGCTTTTCGGTAGACTTTTAGAACTTTTTCTAAAAACAAATATTGCCACAAGGCTCAGCAGGATCGATTACCTATAATCCATCCGTTTTCAAGGCTACTAATCGTCACCGGGTGCCCCCCAAAAACTAGATTGATTTACAAAATGAGGCATACCCACTCTAATTCAGTTTTCAATGCTGATTCAGAAAAATATAGTCCGAACCTTCCATCTTGCAATACAAGCTCAAAAGTCAATTTCATCATAGTGGACGGTTTTAGGTATTTTTGAGGTCCTCTCAGTAATTTGAATTTTTCTCCACAGAGAAATGGCTTTTGGAGGTTCGGAAGGTGTTATTTGTAATTAGCTCATTAAGCTGAATCTGAATATGTATAATAATGCCAAAAAAAAATTCCACTTGAAGTTTGCATTACGTGCATCTTACCAAAGTCAACACTGCGAAACAGTTTATCAACGTTTTTCTTATGAATATGAACTATGAACACTGCTGTATCAGTGGTAAAAATATGAACCCATTTGGTCAAAATATGGCAGAGATATTCAATACTGGACACCCTGTATACTGTGACTCATCGGTGGGTCATATCGAGGCGAATATATTAAAAAACTCTCAATGAATTGTCATCAATGTAAGAATCGATATTGTTTCCTATTATTGTGCCCCTTCGAATAAACATCATTGTATAATCAATACTTCGCGTACCCACTGGTAATGGAAAAGCATTTGTGTAAGTACACCATCCTGGATTTGATGACTTACAAGCAAGTGCTCTTGAACTGACAGTGCTTAATACTGCAGAAAAAGACGATCGAAATGTCAAACTGACTTCAACGTCATCATGAGGCATAAAGAAAGTATCCCAAGTTTGATAGTAAAATGACACATAGGCTCTAAGAAGGCGTGAAGCTAATTGAATTTCCGTAAAACCTTGAACACCACCCAGAAGTTTAACATTTTGAGTCAGTTTTGATGGTGTACCGGGTCCACGCCCGCCGGCAAAGCAATAAGAACCAGAATGTGGATTATAACCACTATTGAGTACGCCGCCTGAATCAAGGATGACAGATGAAGAACCAGTCTGAGTCCAACCAGCAAGAGTTCCTAATTCTCCACCAGGATTTTCTAGTAAGTTTGGTGGAATCATGGTAGTAGTTCTCGCTTAAAATATACAAAAATAAATAAAATGTCAATTACAAACAGTCTGTATATTACTTCTAATAGTACTTGTTGTTGTCATCTTAGCTAAAGAGACTAATTAAATGAACTTTCTCACTTTTTTCCCGAGAGCAAACACTTCTCTTTTTTAAACAAACAGTCAACAGTCAAATTTTTTCTTATAAAAAATTGTTTAGTTATTCTAACAGCATAACAGCAAATGTCTATTTCACTTACTATCTATGTTTGATAATGTTCCTTAAAAAGAATATAAAAAAATAACTATCGATACCATATAGTAACAAAATCTGTCAGTCATTACTTGTTGTTGTTTCTTCTGTTGTCGTCATCAACGAAAAACTATTATCAATCTCATCCGTAGAAAATTCTTTTATACTGGTCTCCGTCATAGCGGTTATACTGGTCTCTGTCATAGCTAAAAATATGAAAGAATTCTCATTTTAATTAAAATTCACATATCTCTGTAATAAACATACGTGTTGTTCCTATTGCTGAAGCTGCGTTCAATGTAAAGAAGCAAAATTCTAAAGTAACATTGTATTATATCAGAACTCACTTGTTGTTATAGTTTCGGCTAAAATAAATGAAAAGATAAAAGACATTTATTCTGTTATAAAACTTATCAATTGTTGAAGATATGTCTGCTTTTAAAGATAGAATACGAGTAAAATGAAGTCTTACTAATTCTATACCACAAATCTTATTTTTTTATATTACATATTCGTATCTGTTGTTAGTGGATCACTGCTTGCTATATAAATAATAAAATCAACTTCGATATCGATGAAATTATCAAAATGTATTTCCATTCATTACCCATCTCAAGCAAAAAATCATACATGAAAATATTTAGATATTTTATCGTTGTATTGGACAATCCTACTATGAAATATCTAGGTATAGGTGTCACTTTTATTGAGTTATTTAGATATATTGGACATAGTATCTAGTGCATCCCGATATCGTCTCAACATATTGAGATGCAAGAAAAGGCTAGTCTGAGGAGCTAGGGTCCCCGGTATAATGGTCTGTTATAGTCCAATATATCGACTCATGTATTGACAGCATGAAGGTTGCATCCCGGGATGTCTGTATGCAGACATCCTGCTTTCTGTAATATATTGGTCTATTATTGTTAAATATATTGGCTTGATATGAAAAAAAATTTATGGAGTGTGTGTTACATATACGTCTAAAAAGAAGTAGTTGCGCACAGCTTTTCCAAGATATTCTCCTTATGAAGATATACTTTTACAAAAGTAATCCCGTATTTTCATAGTGCTTGAAATTTTCTATCACACTGTATATAAATGTCTGGGCTTGCACTTATTTGCTGAAAAATATTTCGAGTACAATGATGATACCCTCATCCTTAGATTCCTACAAATTCCTTTTTTTCTTCGTTTTTCATTCGTTTTCTAAAGTTATTATGAATATGAAGATACCTTTTTACAAGAGCAATTATATATTCTGATAGCGCTTGAAATCCTCTATCATCCTGTACTTCGCCTGTCTTAACGTGCATTTGTTTGCCGATGAATTCTTCAAATATTTTCAATGTACCCACGCGTCACACTTCTAGGTATTGCATTCCATGATTTATCGACATATTTTCCAAGTTTTATTGGAAATTAGGATGATATCTCTGTACATAGAGATTTATCCGAGACCACACACCCTTGATAGTATTAAGGTCAGGTTTGACAGGTAGATAATAGACCATGTATCTTATGCGGCTACTAGATAACCAATAATGTCTTGCTGTATGTGATGGTGAGAGTATATCGAAAACATTTGAAGAATTTATTGGCAAACAAATGCACTTTAAGGCAGGCGAAGTACAGGGTGGAATATGTAATTACTCTTGTGAAAGGGTATCTTCATATTCATAATAACTTTAGAAAACGAATGAAAAAGGAAGAAAAAAAGGAATTTGTGAGAATCTAAGGATGAGAGTATCATCATTGTACTCAAAATATTTTTCAGCAAATAAGTACAAGCCCAGACATTTATATACAGTGTGATAGAAAATTTCAAGCACTATGAAAATACGGGATTACTTTTGTAAAAGTATAAGGAGTATAAGGAAGAAGTATAAGGAAGTATAAGGAGAATATCTTGAAAAACTGTGCGCAACTATTTTTTTCAGGCGTATATAAAGGGTGTTCTAGAAGTTCTGAAGTAATTTTAAAATGCATCATTCTAAAATTACTTCAGAACTTCTAGAACACCCTTTATAGGTGCTGTGGCTGCAAAACAAAACGGTGAATAATTCAACCGTTAAAGACAACCAGCGTTAAAGATAGATTTTATTTTTTATTTAAAGTTTTCAAATCAATTGAAATTGATTTTTTAAAGTTGATTCAAATCGATTCAGAATTACTAATCGATTAAAATCAATTTGAAAAGATTTAAATAAAATAAAATCTATCTTTAACGCTAAAACAACAGATTGCAATCAGATTTAAATTGCGCCATTTAAATCGATTTTAATCTGATTTCTCTTCAAATATCTCTTACATGAGTTGTATTTAATGTAATAGTAGAGGTTATAGTTGTCATAACTATTCAAAAAAACTGTCAAATAATAGGAAACTTAAAAGAAGCATTCTAAATTACGTGAGCTAATTCCCGATCTTGATGAAGGTACTAAACGAATATGCTTTCGTTTTCTTAAATCCATTAATACTCCTAAATTTGACTTGTTAGTGTTTCTGTGTCTTACCAGTATCATCCGTAGATAATTCTTCGATCGAATTAGTCATTGTCATTGTAGCTAAAAGTATATAAACATATTTCTTTAGTGGAAAAGACTGATATTAACAGTATATATGCTAGGTGTCTCTACCTATCATATGCCAAAATATGAGCCTTTTTACTCTTATTGTTACAAGGATACGAATACCTTAACATTTCATAGAAAGTTTTGAATTATTATTGGAACATCTTTGACGTTTTATCAGTGATGTCCAAAGGAAAAGTAGCAAATGGAAGTAGATTGACAGAACTTCTCAAAAAAATAAACGGAAAGGTGTATTGATATTCATCCCTAGTCGAACATCTTGGAACCAAGATCTTGACATCTTAGATTTTTTCGAAAAGATCTTGGCAAGATCTTTCGTACAAGATGTCAAGATATTTTTGTTCCTAAGATCTTGCCTATGATCTTGCGTACAAAATCCTAAAAATTATCTTGTATCCAAGATCTTGACTGTAAAATGACTTGTACCCAAGATCATGGCTCAAGATCTTTGATACAGAAATATTTTGACATCTTGTACCAAAGAT